CCCCCCCGCCCCGCTCTTACCCTTGTGGTAGAACTGTTCCCGTTGGTCCATTATTTCCGAGAACTCCTCGGGGGAGACGCGCCGCCGGGACGCCAGGCGTTTGGGCAGGTCAGCAATGCTGGACACTAACGTCTCCAGGGGGGAGCCTGAGGGGCAGAGGCGGGGATGCCAGCTCAGCCAGCGGAGAGCCCGGCCGCGGGAGCTGGCACCGGAGAGCACCCGGCGTAAAGGCCACGGCGTGGCCGCTCCGGTCAGCAGACACGTGTGCGGACGCTCACGCAGCCACAGAGCCGCAGATGTGTGTCACCGGTCACAGCCCCCCAGCCGACAAATATTGACGGGTAGCTCAAGCCCCGTGTCGTTCATCCCCTGCGATCGCCATCCCCTCTCGACTGAACTGTCTTCTGGAACAATCTAACTGGTGTCTCACATCTCTCTTTGCTCAAATACGTCATTTGGACAAACCTTCCCTTGCACAGCTCCCCTCCCGGACTGACTTTGTGCCTAATCACAGCACCATCTGGCTGGTTGGACCCTCAGGCAGAAGACTGGCGCTTTCTTCTACCAGGTGAATCTGTCAGAAGGGCCTAAGAAAAGATGACACTCACCTGGAGAAGCGTCCTGGGCCACTTTAAATGAAAAAAAACTTGCTGCCAAACCAGAGCCGTAAGAGAAGGCCCCGACCCTGGAGCCGGCCAAGTCCTGGGCAGAATGCCTAAAGGGAAAGAAGTGAGAACCCAGAAACAAGCCGTTGTTACGTCCTGAGCGTTCACGAACCTCTCCCCGTCTGCCCAGGGCCGTAACCTCAGACAAGCAGAGGCCAGGGCACCAAGGGGGCTTGGGAAGCCTGGGGGTGGGCCCGCGAGGAGGGACACCTGCCAAAGGGACGTGAGCCAACCTGCAAGGTGCAGGCGGTGCAGGAGGCAGCCCGGGGGGCCACAGGGGCTTCTCCCACTCAGCAGGCCAAGAGCTTCGTGAACTCTGGAGACTCTGGCAGGTCCAGGCAGATCACTGGACTCTCCTCCCCAGATGGTGCCACCTGCTGCATCAGCTCGGCAGAACTTGACCTCGATCACGTCATATGCGTGTGTGTCGCAGATAAGCCCGTGTTCCAGGGGTGCACTAAGGTTACCTGGGCCCCTGCATTATGGCGAGCACTGTCACACAAGAGCCCCCATAACAACCACAAACTAGACTATCGATGGAAGCAACACCTGACGAGCCTCTCTGTCGTCATTGCTCCTGCATTTAATGCTCACCCAAGCCGCCGCAGGCAGGCATGGGAAGTAGGTATATTTGGCAGCAGGGGCACAAGCCGCGAGAGGTCAGGTCTTTTTCCAAGGTCAAAGCTTTTGAGTGCAAAGATATTTGAGCCGAGGTGATAGGCTCTCAGGCTATACTCTTAGCCACCATGTTTTGCTAAGAAGAGAGATCTTAAATGGATAAGATAGAAACAGACACAAAAGCTGTACTATACGCTTGCTGCACCCAAATAGACCTTGCTCCTTTGCTGACATTGTTGCACTGCATGCTGGAGACCACCGTGCAACATGCACACAGTAGGTCTGCCCGCTCACAGTATGTCTGCCCGCTCACAGTCAGTCTACTTGCGCACAGTAGGTCTTCCTACGCACAGTAGGTCTGCCGCGCACAGTAGGTCTGCCTGCGCACAGTAGGTCTGCCGCGCACAGTAGGTCTACCGGCACACAGTAGGTCTGCCTGCACACAGTAGGTCTGCCTGCACACAGTAAGCCTGCCCGTGCACAGTGAGTCTGCCCACGCAGGGAGCCTGCCCACCCACACTGAGTCTGCCTACACAGTACACCTTTGAAACAAGTTTCTTTCACTTTCCTTTCTTCCCTGCTTTCTTTCCACCCTTCTTGCTTGCTTTGAGAAAATGCTGTGAGCCAGAAGAGAAGCAAGCTTGGCGGGTCCCTCGGATGGGCCAGGCAAGGAGCGGGGCAGACGTGGACTCACTGGGCCAGAAGCGAGGCCAGGCACCCGTACAGGGACGAGGTGTATGTATTCCCGTTGTGCGTGGACAGATAGAGGGAGGCCTTGGTTTTCTTGTTGAACATGTCCAGAGAGGCCTTTAGAGATGCTTTATCCAAGTCCCTGTGGGTGTAGGAGTCTTCCAACTTCAGGTCCCTGCGAGGCAGGTAGAGGAATAGGCCAGGTGAGAGGCCACAGGAGAGGAGAGAGGCAGCGAGGGGCCAGGCTGAGCTGGGGGGAGTGGAGGAGGGGGAGGCTCCTTGCTCACCCCCCAGGCTCCCCTCGGAGGAGACAGACCTGAAAGCCTCCAGCCCCTTATAGTGGCTGCTCTGTGCCTCGCGGCTGGCAGAAAGGAAGTCGTTGAACAGCAGGCGAGCCAGGGACTTCTGGACCATCTTGCAGAAGGGGGTGTGAAAGATCATAAACTGTAAATCATCCAGGGTGAAAGGTCGATCCATGCCAGCTGGAACAAAAAGCGAGAAAGCAGGGGGTGCTGTGACAGGTGGCCTTTGGCCCTGCTCTGACACGCACCGTAGGGGACCCGGGGCCCCCGAGCTCCCGCAACGCACACAGAAGGTCTGCTCACTCACGCTGCAGGCGCCTCACCCCGCACGCCACCAAGAAAGAAGCCAAAGAAATCGGGATTTTCTTCCTGCCCACTACTGCCGACCTCCAAGACAGAGGATTCCTTTACATCAAACTTCCGTTCCCAGAAACAGAACCTCTAAAATCTGAACGTCAGTGACCAGTCAGATGATGACAGCTTTGGATTTAGGGTCTGCTGTCTTTGCCTGACACTCCAGATCTCTCATGCTGAGGAGGAAAGGCCGGAGGACGGTCTACAGCTGGGTGTAGGCATGCAGGCGTCAAACTCCAAAACCTCCGGGGTGAGGGTGGCTTGAGAATTCAGAGGAAGCAATGAGTCAGTAGTGAGTTGGGCCCTCCCTGTGCCTCACGGGGCTAAAGCGCAGCACTATGAAGCTATCAGCAGCCACTGCAGCAAGAGTTTGATCCCCCAGGGCACAGCAGACCCCTCCTGTCTCCCTGCTGCTCCCCTCAACAGTGGACTTCATCTGCCTGTTCTGCCCCCCACTCTGTCTCTGGCGAAGCCTCTCACCCCCTGCACCTGTGGCCTATACCCCAGCTCTTGTGTGTATAAATAAATAAACCTTAAAAATGAATAGTGGCTTTACTGTGGGCAGCACCAGGAAGTCCTGGTCAGTGGCTTGGCCCCAGGCACAGGTGTGGCAGCTGGCCAGCCCCGGGTAGAGGACGGGGGCAAGACTGGCCTGTCTGGCCCGCTCAGCACACGCCTTCCACTCTCGGACACCACCCATCTGGACACGGCTTTGCACATGTTTTTAAAGTCTGTTTCTCTAGACTTGAAAAACAAAATGTTTCTTTTCTGGTTAGGAAAGCAGCACAGATATTTTAGCAGGAAAATTCAGAAACCAAGGTAAAAGTAACACCGACTCGCAATGCCCCCTCCGTCCAGAGAAACATCAGGGACAGCACTTTAGAACACCCAAACAGGCCAGACTGGTCAACATCAGATGAGCAGGTGAAACCTCAGACAAAACCTCAGGTGAAAAGGTGTCAAACTACAAACCAGGAGTCAAATCACTGCGACTGCAGCAGAACTGAGCTCAGCCCGGCCCCAGCCCGGCCCCAGCCCGGCCCCAGCCCGGCCCCAGCCCGGCCCCAGCCCGGCAGGATGTGGTTCTGGCCCAACCATACCCGTCCCCGGGGACTGACTCCCTGGTCTCACGCTAGCGGCTTTAGCTAGTGACTATTTACTTTCTCTTTTTTCTTTCTTAAAGATTTATTATTATTTATGCACACAGAACTGAGGTACAGGGACGGCGAGAGGCTTCACCAGAGACAGAGCGGGGAACAGAACAGGCAGATGGATGAAGCACACTGCTGAGGGGAGCAGCGGGCCGGTCAGGAGGGGTCTGCCACGCCCTGTGGTCACCGCCCGGGGTGGGGATCGAACTCGTGCGGAGCTGGCTTTAGCTTCTCAGTGCTGTGCTTTAACCCGCTGCGCCACCAGGGAGGGCCTATTTACTTTCTTTTATTTAACTCAAGTTAAGGCGGCTTCATATCTGAATTCCCAGGTGGACTTTAGCATAGGTCTGGGAAAGGGTATGAGGAAAACGGGACAGGAAAGAATTCTCTTAAGAAAGTTCTTAGGGGAAAGGGGAGACCGGCTTGTGCTTTTCGGGGACACACTGGGCCACGGGAGTCGCTCCCTACCTTCCTTCCACTGGCTCTGGATTTTCTGTCGGTACAATGTGTAACATCGGTCCAGCGCTCGTAAGTAGCACTGAATGGAGAGCTTCCCATCCACCAGCGGATACTCTGAATTCGAATCTGGCTTGTAGAAGTCGTACGCGTTCTCCATGTGGGTTGCCCTGACCCCTGGCAAGGCAAACAGTGGGGTTAGGGACGCTCCACACAGCCCGCGTGGAACAGAGCCGTGGACAGCTTCCTGGTCTTTGCTGTCTCACCCCAGGCCCCCGCCCACCAGCATTTCTTCTGTGCTCACAGATGCTGCTCTGATATAAATGAGATCTACATTTCTCTCTTCATACCTATGTGGTCTTAACAAAACCTGGACTAGATGTCAAAAATCTCAAAGGAAACTTTTCATTCTCTATTCAGTGATCTTTCCTCTTCGACTCCCAGTTCAGTTCCCTAAAGGTGTTGCCAGCAGAGCTAACATTGTGCCTTCTGTTCCTCATTATTCCAGCGGAGTGTCATGCAGAAGAGCAGACCTTGAAAATCTCTCCCCTTCCTCTCTGACCTCTGCTCCCCAGTTTGGTCTTTTGAAGGCCAGTGAATGCATCCTCACAGCCACACTTGAGTGCTGAGATGGGGGTTACCAACTCGGGTTTGGGGAGCAGTCTCTCAAGACCGTGTTGTCACCGTCTACAACAAACCTCTTTCCAGGACCAGAGGCGCCATGGGCCCAACCAGCATAGCCACGGCCCCGGCACCCCCTGTGGGACGCGCATTCCCAATGGGGTAGACGGCTATGTCACCACAGACCACCATGGCGTAGCGACCTGCAATGAGAAACAAGAGGGGGTCATCAGCACTCCCAAATCGGGCACCACTGGGGAGCCGGGAGATAAACCCGTGAACAGAAACAGAAATCCTGCCCTCGAGAGCTTATGGCCTGGAGTGAGTCATCGTGAGATATCTGAGAGGTGAAGGCTGGACTCACATCCCTCCGTTACTCGTGTCTGTAATTTCGCCTTGATTCAGAATCCTGTTTCTGAATTCAATGAAAATTGATTCACTGGCATTTTGGAGAGAACTTAGGTTTGCACTAATTACCTACAGTGCTCTGTGGTCCTGAAGTTCCTGCCAAACCAGAAAAGGTCCAAGAGGTAGGGAGGAAAACTACCATTTGAAGCAGTGGCTAGACTCTAGTTATCTACAACCGATGCTTTCTGAAACCAATTCACTCATGAGGACACTGCTTTCCAGAGGGAGGATAGGACTTGTCTAAAGTCACCCAGCTAGAGAATACGGAATCTGACATGTAAACCCAGTTCTGACTGGATTCTACACCATGGGGAATTTGAAGAACTTGGTACAACTTGTATTATGCAAAGTGTTTTTGTTGAATAACTATTTAATGCTGATGATCCCCCCCAAAACCAACTCTAACAGTCAGATAAATGAGTATAGTCTTGGCAAGTTCTTCCATTTTCATCTGATAGTATTACCTCCAAAATTGAATGCATGGTAGTTTTAGTATTTTATCTAACCTGTTGAGGAAGACCCCAGTATTGTTTTGGGAATTATTTTATGTAATGTGACCCTCATAATAAGGCACACATCAGTTTATATAGAGAGGTTATCATCTCTTTACAGACAACAAAACTGAGACCCAAAGAAGTCACTGTCCAAAACCACACAGCTTATTAGATGTTTGGGTAAGGAGCCAGAGAAGCAGCCTTCTAATCTTCCAGGCGTTTGAAACTCAAAAACCTTTTCTCATGAATTATAACAACCCCAACAGAAAAGTGTTATTTTGTTCTTTCAATAATTGGAAAATGTGTGTATGTGTATTAAATTCTTAAGTAGTCAAATCTACTACCTAAAAATCAGAATGAAAACCTTTTATCTGAAAGTTAAAAGACAACCCAGGAAATTATTTACTGTATTTACAACCAAAAAAAAAAACCTATTTCATTTATAGAAGATTCATAAGAGACAAGTAATGAAATAAGAAAATGGCCAATAAACACAAATTATTGAAACTCTCATACTGGAAGATAAGTCAACACCACTATTATCTTCTTTCTTAAATTGACAAAGATTAGAAAGTACGATAGTCTATACTGATGTTAAAGGAACATGTTTTAGTAAATTATTTCAAAGGGCAAATTGTGGCACATTCTCTCACCCTCCTAAATCAACATGCAATTCCACTTTTAGCATCTGTTCTTACAACACATCACAAGCTTGCAAGACTATTATACAATGTTTGTTAAGACATCGTTTATAGCTGTAAACACATCATAATTTAAGTATCTAACAACATGAGAATAAGTATAACTATCCATCAATAGCTATGAAGTATATTTTAACAGAATGAGGTAGGCTGGGTAGGCTGTGTATCTTGCTATAGAATGCCTTCTAAGACATCACAGAGATGAGGAATACTATGTACAAACTTAAGAATTAAAACTGACCACCAATTGGGTCATACACAGGAGAGACAGCTATAGGGAGAAAACACAAGTTGAGTCGATATGAAATCCATTTGCTAATTGTGAGGATAAATAAAGCTTTTAAATTCTACAATGTAAAAAAACAAAGCCAAAGCAGAATACATACATCTGTGCTTGCAGGTAAAAATGAAAAAATTATGGAAGGATACATAGAAACTTAGTGTTAAGTTCTTAAATGTGGTATGGGGTCCTCCCTGGTACAAGGGGTTAAAGCACAGCATTGTGAAGCTGTCCACAGCCACTGCAGCACGAGTTCGATCCCCGGCCAGGGAGGGACCCACAGGGTGCTGCAGACCTCTCCTGTGTCCCCGCTGCTCCCCACAGTAGTATATTCCAGTGGATCCACCTGTTCCACTCTGCCTCTGGTGAATCCTCTCACGCCCACACCTCTGGCCTGTAGCCCATTTCTTGTATGCATCAATAAATACATCTTTAATAAAAAGTGGTAGTGGGGTTGAAAGGGGGCCTTTCTTTGCTTTATATGCGTTAGTGTGTCTAATCCCGGAAACTGTATGTTTCAAGTCTCCCAGCAGCCTGGAGCCAGAGCCACTCACACTTTCCTGGTAGCCTGCTCTGCCTGTAGAGCAGCTCAGCACGTGCTGGTGAGTCCTGACACCTGCTCCCAGCCCAGCACCCCCAGGAGGGTGGTGTGACGAGGTCAGAAGCCCAGACCTCATCCACACTGGCCTCGTCTGGTCTCAGCATGGCTATCAGGCCCAGCTCAGACAGCTTCTATTTGTGTTAGTATATTCACTACTAACAGTTTGCACCTCAATAATTTGTTTTTTGACTTTTTTCTCCCACCAAGACATCCACACTGAGGAAAGACGTAAGTAGGATACGGGATGATGTTAACATGTTGAACAAAAAGCAATATTCCAGGAGAAAGAACAGAGATATCGAATTCCATGTGACTCTCTGGGCCTGTTTCTACCAGGGTGTTTTCCCCTTGACACCTACACTTGTTTAGACCTTCCAACCTCACCAATCTCTCTCGGAGACTTGGGAGCAGCTTAAGGGAAGCAGGCACAATTAAAGGAGAAAGAGGTTGCTTCTGCCACTCACTCTATATAAGAGATCAGATCCTCCACGTTCTCATCCACACACCAGGAGTAACGCTCACATCCTCGACTGTCATGGGGACTGAATGGACGGCTACCTGAGCCACTGTGGGAACCACTACTGTGTCAGTGGTGGTTTCATTGCGGTGTTGGACAACAGCAGCATGGGTAAGTTGTGTTTCCTTCCCTGGATGACACACCTGGGGACTGGGCAGCAACATGGGCCGGATTGCGCCTCCGACCTCCGTTCCTCTCTTACATAAAGCCTGGAAATACGCACCGTCCCAGGAGCTCGACTCCACCCAGTTGGCAGCGTTGAAGAGGGAGGCAGTGCCGCCGTAGCAGGCATTGGTGGTGTCTATGCCCTCGATGTCGGTGTTGCCTGAGTCCTGGAAGAGCTCCATGAGCACTGTTTTGACAGCCTTGGACTTGTCGATGATGGTCTCGGTGCCCACCTCCAGCCGGCCCACGGCGTCCCACGGCAGCCGGGTGCGCTCCATCAGCCGCTGCACCACCGTCAGGCACAGGGAGTTGATGTCCTCCTGGACGGAGCAGAAGCCCATCTCGGTCTGGCCCAAGCCCACTGTGTACTTCCCTGCTTCCACTTGGTTGTACTTCTCCAGGTCAGTCTGGTCCACATACTGGGCTGGAAAGTAGACCTCCAGGGCAAGGATGCCCACGTCCTTTGGCCAAGATCCTGTTTTGGCCAAGGGGGCGGCAGGGATTGTAGAAAACCTGTGGTGGAGATAACAGCCATAGTCGTGCGCGTTGGCCTAGCCAGCTTCCTTGACAGAGAATACTGCAAGCACCTTGCGTTTGTTTTTACGGATTTTGAAGATGTTGTCAGATGACTGCAAGTTAGAATTGTATCTTTCTTTTGACCCTTTTATTGTTATTATATGGCTACCTTTGGGATATTCTTGACATAAATCTGTTTTCCTGCGGTTAGTACAGCTGCCTAACTGTTAGGTTACTGTGTACATGGGATAGTTCCCTTTGCCCTTCTATACCTTTTCACCCCTCAGTCTTTATGTTTAAAGCGCATCTCTTATAAACTGCATAAAGTTGGGTCTTTGAACATTTTTTTTTTAAGATTTTATTTATTTATCCATATAGAACTGGGGTACAGGCCAGAGATGCGGAGGGTGAGAGGATTCACCAGAGACAGAGTGGGGAGCAGAACAGGCAGATCGACAAAGCACACTGCTGAGGGGAGCAGCGGGCGGGTCAGGAGAGGTCAGCCACGCCATGTGGTCTCCTCCGGGGCAGGCGGGAATCGAACTCATGCGGAAGTGGCTTCAGCTTCTCAGTGCAGTGCTTTAACCCGCTGCGCCACCAGGGAGGGCCGGGTCTTTGAACATTTTTAACAAGGTTTACAATAGGTGTTTTTGTTGGGGCAATTAATCTCTTCCTATTGATCATGGTCTTATGATAGTTGGGACTAAACCCACCATCACACTGTTTATTTTTTTTTGTAGTATATCCCTTCTTTCTTTCTTTCTTTTTTTTTGAAGATTTATTTATTATGCATTCAGAACTAGGGTACAGGCCAGAGGTGCAGGGGTGGTGAGAGGATTCACCAGAGTCAGAGCGGGGAGCAAAACAGGCCGATAGACAAAGTACACTGCTGAGGGGAGCAGTGGGCGGGTTAGGAGAGGTCTGCCGCGCCATGTGGGTCACCTCCGGGGCCCAGGATCGAACTTGCACTGAAGGGACCTTGGCTAGCTTGCAGTGCTGCGTCCTTACCCACTGCACCACCAGGGAGGGCCCCCTCATTTTTTTATTCTCCCACTTTCTCGGTATTCTTTTGGATCAAACAAGTATCTATTATTCTCTTCCTATTTCCCCTCTTTGTTTTAGTAATGACCTTAGGGCTTAGATTTCTTTAGTAAGGACCAAGTTTACACTTGGTTTATTGCAAGCTAAAACTAATACTTCTAGTACTTTCTGCAGAGTTTTGTTACCTTACTTTAGTTTAACTGCATTTACACTTTCCATCGCCTTGAACTATTGTAACTTAGGTCACTTCTACCTGTTATAAATCCCATAGGACATAATTTTTAAAACCTCATTCATTTTTCAACTGCCCTGCTCTTTATCTCTCTTCCTTTTTCTATACAAGGACACTCCTACTGTTTTCCTTCTTTTAAGGACATTGTCTGCTTGATTCTATCCTATCGACTTTGGTCCCCAGCATCTGGAGAGCAGATGCACAACAGTGAACAAGACAACCTCTGTGGCTACAAAGAGGGAACAGTCTGATGAAGGAGCATTTCACAGCTAATTAAATAGCAGGACAAGCAAATGCTGTGAATGCAGAGAGCAGAGAGAGCACTTCTACATGGCAGTACAGAGACAGTGGAGCAAAGGCCAGTGGGGAGAGTAATCTGTTCCCTTCTGGAAACTACCCACCTCTCCTCATGGCCGAACCCTACTACCCCTGTTATAAATCTGAGGTTTCTCCTCCAGTTGCACGCACAGAGCTCACCAAGTCCCCTGCCCCTCTGCTCCCATATGGCCACTTGCACGATATTCTCCCTGTGGGGATGGTGGAGTCATGGCCACACAGGCTGCCTTGGGTGTGAGCCCCCTGCGTGAGACACTCTTGGGGCCCCGAGGTCCCTTCCAGTCACAGCCGGCTACAAAATTCATCACCGTGGGAGAGGTGCAAGATGGCGTCACGGGCTGACACATTTAGCTCTGTGCCTCACAGCTATAGCTCAGGTGACTGCATCTGTCGGTCACCTCCAGGGCCCCCCACCTGTGGTACCCCAGCTCTCCATCAGGAAGATGACTTTAAAGGACCAGGGTGAGGCAGGAGTGGGTCACATGATGACAACAGTGGAAGGTCTAGTGACTGGATGTCCACCCATATCTCTCCAGAGAGGTCTGGAGTTCAGGCCTCGTATTTATTTGGTGTCCCCATATAATTGGAGTTTGTACTATCAAATATTTGTGGGGGAAAGTCGCCAGGACCTAGGAGCTAATGGTTAGCCAGCACTTGGTCTGTGCTTGGCTGTCCTTCCCCTCAGCTTCTGTCTTCTCTGAGCTCACTACCTCCCTCTTTCTCAGGAGGGCTTCCACGAACCAGTCAGCTGGTAACGTTATAATTGTCCCAGTAGAGATCTACTTCTGGACATGGGTTCAGGAGCCTTCAAGAAAAGTTAACATGTAGAGGCTTCCAGAAACACCAGACCACTGATGTATTTTTGCTAAAGAATCATAAAGTTAAGTAATTAATTGAAAATTGGCTTGTCCTGGTCTGCCTGGTTCGGGAATATGCACGCGATGCTTAATTCTTTCTCTTGTCTCCTTCCCTCGTGTTCCAGAATTAGCTGTCACGTTCCTGGGCCTTTGCTGGGGAGTGGGTGTGGGAGTGAGGGGCAGGCATAGAGAGGCGGTCAAGGTTCTGGAGACCGTCCTTGACCAGTGGGAGGAGCGGGGCGAGCGCCTGCATACATCACGCACGCACACACGCCACACACACACACACCCATCTGTGCCAACTGAGAGGCGTGAGGCGACGCGGGGACACGTGCAGAACCCCTCTGCTTCAGGTGGGACTAGAGGGAAGAGGAGCCATGGAGAGGACTCCCATTACTTGTTCACACCACAGAATGTGGGGTTAGCCACGAGGAGACTAAGCAGGAAATGCAAATGCAGGTCCCTAGTGTCTGAGGCACGGAGGACGGGCAGGTGACTGAGAGCACCCGGCAGCCAGCGACGGCTCAGCGGAACCAGCAGGCCGTGCCCACTGCTCCCCACGAGACAGAAGCAGGTGGAAATCTGAGCTGGGCCACTGCCCTGGAAGCAGAGGGCGAGAGGACGGAGAGGATGGTAAAGAGTCACGGAGAAAGCGAGAGGGGTAAAGGGCTCAGCCCGTCCCATCACACAGCCGGGAGGGCGCCGGAGGGTGGGCACGGCCAGGGGAGACGTCAGGGCGAAGGCATCTTCCTGAGGGCTCATGGAACCCGGCCAGGGGTGGAAGGGGGGAAGGGGTGGACTCCAAAGTCGGCTATCCACTAGGGGCCCCCAGGGGCTGCTAGAGCTGTGTTCCCACAGGTCAGGGGTGGGGGGGACGCCAGCACCTGGGCTGGACCAGGTAGTGTTGACAATGACACACACACACCTTATATGTCCTTCTCCCGTCCACAAACTCGGAGGGCGAGAGGATACCCTTCTCACCACCCGTCTGCATCTTGCTGCGTGATGTGAAGCACTTGGTTTTACTCATAGCACCGTCAGCCCAGAGTCCTGAAGGCCTTGCTGGCTGTGCTCATCTGGCCACAGTGTCCACCTGCTATTGTCAGAGCAGATACTGGCTTTCCAGTGTGTTCCTCATACCAAGACCTTGTCCTGCTGAGAGGCCCCTGCCTGACTCTGTTTTATCTGGACCAGCGGGAACTCTGGGCACCCACACAGTAAGTATCCCGAGAACAAGGGGGCTGGGGAGTCCCCACGAGTCAGGCCAGATCAGGAAGCCTCAGAATGTGTGACCAGGAGCGTGGGGGGGGGGGAAGCCCCATGGGGCCCGGCACTGATTTGTCCACTGCTTCGTGCAGCAGGTGAGTGGAAGTCATGAGGGCAGTGGGGCCGGACACCCGGGGCCTGCCATTCCGTGTCGGGTGAGTAGAGCAGCCCTGGGGCCAGCTTGCCGACCTGGGCCTGCACACTTGCCAGCTTTCAGCTGGGTTCTCGTGAGCTCTTCCCCTCGTGAGCCCTCTCTGTTCACCCTGCTGTCTCCACAAGGGCCCTCAGTCACCTGCACAGTCCCAGGGAACAGGAACGCCGGGACTCACCTTCGGTGGGCTGCAGGGACGAGGCGAGCAGGCACCAGGGAAGCTTCCTGCACCGCTCTCTTCAGCCGCAAGGCCCGCTTCACTGGGCTCACCAGCCGCTGCATCTCCGGAGGAACAAGCAGACAGACAGCCAGCTGCTCAGGCTTTCGGAGAGATGCCCAGTGGTGCCCGGCCAGGCTTTATAGAGCCTGGGACTCCAGAAGCCCCGCCTCTGCTCATCCAGGCTCAGTCTGCTGCAAACTAGGCCAAAGGTCTCATGCAAAACATGGGCGAGCGGAGGAAAACATCTTCACCCCAGCGTGTAGGGAGCTGCCCTGCTCTCGTGCCCAGGAGCGGAGGGCTGGGCAGCCTCCCCAGGCACCATGCCCTGATGGGCCACCACGCTCCTGGTCACACATTCTGAGGCCGCCCAATCTGGTCTGTCTCGTGGGGACTCCCCAGGAGACAGGACTCCCTTGTGCTCGGGATATTTATTGTCTGGGCGCCCAGAGTTCCTGCTGGTCCAGATAAAACAGTCAGGCAGGGGCCTCTCAGCAGGACAAAGTCTTGGTATGAGGAACACCCTGGAAAGCCAGTATCTGCTGACAGCAGCAGGTGGACACTGTGGCCAGATTAGCAAAACCAGCGAAATGGCCTTGTCAGAAAGCTCAGTGTAAACAGGAGCTAGAGACAGGATGTTTTGATGGGGGAGAAGGGAGCCCTCCAGGCAACAGCCCCAACTCACCCCCCAGCTGTGCCAGACACTTACGCACCCCAGTCCACATCCCAGCAGGCACATTCCACACAGTCCTCCAGGGCGGCCCCCCAACCTGGCTCCCAGTGAGTGTGAGATTCTGGGAGCTCCGGCCAGTCCTCCAGTCCGGTCACACCCTCGGGCTCTCTCCTGGGGCCCAGAGTTTCCTTCCTCCTCCCTGCCCACTTGCAACACTGCCGCCCCTGGACGGGACAGAGGGTGACCCCAACGGGTGAGCCTGGAAGAAGGCTCAGGAGACTGACCTATCCCCGGAGAAAACGGGGAGCCAAATAAAAAGGGCAGGAATGCCCCCAGAAGGGGGGGCTCACAGAGGGTAAACACGTCAGCGAGCGAGACAAGAGCTAGGTGTACCTCCACAGTCTGGGGGTCAAGGTGGGTTTTCCCGTGGAGGCGTCTGTTTTCCAGGCTCTGCCCTCCCTTTCTCTTTTGTCTTTACACAGGGTAGCTGCAGGCCCACGTGTGGTCAGGGTCTCTTGAGTCAAAAAGCTCACGTGGGGAACTTTTCTTTCTCTTGCTAAATGTTTCCTTTATTTCAGATCCCATCAGGGATCACGCAAAAGGGCAGCGGCCAGCAGTTAGACACAAGGGCAGCGGCAGGAGAACAGGGCCTCCCTGGCCGCACAGGGGTCCAAGCGCAGCACTGTGAAGCTGGCCGCAGCCGCTGCAGCTCGAGTTCGATCCCGGCCAGGGAGGGACCCACCGGGCGCGGCTGACCCCTCCTGGATCCCTGCTGCTCTGCTCAGCAATGGGTTTCAGTGGGTGCCTGTTCTGCTCCCCACTCTGCCTCAGTGACTCCTCTCAAACCCCCAGACCCCACCACCTCTGGCCTGCACCCCAGTTCTTACTGCATAAATAAATAAATCTTGAAAAAAGAAGAAGACCCTTATGAGAGGATAAACCAGAGGCTGACTGGGATTAGGGTCTAGCTGCCCGCCAGCTGCAAAAAATGTTCAGTCCATTGTATCAGGGAGTGCGGTCTCCGAAGAAGACAGTCACGTGTGCCCTGGAGAAGTCTGGGGTCGCCCTTCAAGGACTGAGAACACGCTGCCTTCTCCTGCGCTCAGCAGGAGGATTCAACTGCAGCGCGAGTTTGACCCCAGCAGGGAGAGACAGCTGGGGAAGCTGTTTCCTCCTGCAAGCTCCACACACGTTCACACAGGCCTCAGATCCTCTGTTAGCTACTTGTCTCTTTCTCTCCTTTTCCTGGAGATGAGTTTAACTTCTTGCAAAGTGGGGAGTACTCTAGGCCTGGGGAAAAACAACATAAAAAGCATTGCAGGGTGTTTTTAAAATGGCAGGTCCCAGGTAACAAAGAGGCAGTTAGAATTCTCCCTTATCACCATCAGAAAGAGATGCCCCAGGAATCTGGAGAAGGAACTCTGAATTTGAATGGCCGGGAAAGGGAGGGCAGTGGCTAAGAGGTGGCCTAGGGAAAGAATCGCCCTTTCCTCGGGGATCTCAGGCAATTAGCACAAGGCCCTTCCGTGGCTAAACAAATCTGACATCCTCAGGCCGCAGGCTCCTGCCCTAAGGCCTCCTCCCCCCTGCCCTGTCTGGGTGCCGCAGAGGGACAACTGCCTCCAACATTTTTCCAGGAAAACAATCAGGCAGAAATGCTTCACCTTTTCCGGTTACTTCAGCAGGGAAGAGGTCATTGGCTGTTTTCAAGGAATTTACCGAAGAATGTCTAAAATGGCAATAAAAGTTCATTTACAAGTGGAACTGTGAAAGTGACAGAAACACAGGACTTACAAGGTTCTTACCGAAACAGCCCTGACCTGGGGGCTGCCTGGACCCTCCTCCTGGTTCAGATGGTGACGCGTGCTGCTATTGTAACTGGGGGTCCCCTAGGAAAGGGGAGCTTCCAGCTTCCTTGCCCCACCCAGAAGGAGGGTGGAGCTGAGAAGAGAAAAGTAAAGAGAGGAGAAGGAATCTGAGGAAGAAGGAAGCTGGATGGAGCCTGGAGACCTGAGGAGGCCACACAGAGCAGCAAGCAAGTGGTGAAGAAGCCGAGCTTGTTTCCTGGCCCTGGACTGGGGGACACGATGTGGGTGAGAGACCCGGGGGCAGGTGACTGTGGCAGCCTTTATATTGATTTAGATTTTGCTCTTTTCCTCCCAGACTGGTCTGGCTGTTTCTGACCCTTTTCTGCGGCCTGGCCAGAAGGTGCTTTAATCTAGTGGCAGCTTTCAGGCCTTGCTCTGGGCCAGTCCCTTTGGGTGGACTTTTGCCTACAGGGGACGGGTCACTTCAGCTGTTTGTTTTAGAATTTACATTCTTTGTCTCCCATGTTGTATACTCGCTGTATTAAAGTTCCTTTTCATTAAAGTCTTACATGTTTTGTCTTGATGTGGCGGATGGCAGAACCCACTTAGAGCAGGCAGGTTTGGGGGTTCAGTGGTCCCTCTCTCCCTGCCCTGTAGCAATGTCTTCCAGCTGTGGGGAAGCTTGACTCTCCTTTTTGTACTGGAGATGTTGTTCTAGGCTGTTCTATAGGCAGAAAGTCCTGTTTCCATGTGCTTTCCAACAGAATGCTTACTGTTTGAGCAAAAACTTCTAAATTGTTTACTGGGCCTGAAAAAGCAAAGTTTTTGTTGTTGTTGTTGTTGTTGTTAAAATTAATTAACCTGGTCAAAACCATAGAGGAAAAATGCAGCTTTCTGTGAGTTAAATTCCAAACTGTATACTGCTAATAAGAATCTGAAGACAGATAAACTACAAAGAAACATCTTTATTGCTTTTCCTGTCTTTCCTACCCATGGTCCATAAAAGGTGGTCTGTTGTCTTAAAAATGTGCTTGGTCTCAGGGAATTAGATAGAGCAGAAACAAAGTCAAACCTAAGGATCATGTCTTAGTGTTAGAAAGTGAAGGAAAATGTTCTTATCTAAAGAAGTTAGTACAAGCAAATTTGATAAAAGTTCTCAGTGTCTTCATAAATACTGGTAAAATAATTCTTAAAATTAGTACACCATCAACAAAATAGGGACGTATTGAAAATAGATATTTTGAAGGTCTTAGGAAAAATTGAAAGTCAAATGGTTATCTTTGAAATAAAATGTTATTTAAAAAGTAAAAAAGCAAATGAACGTGTTAAAGATCTGAGAGGTATCCTAGGAAAAATAACTTATGTTCCCTAATGACTTTTTATACAAATATTTTAGCTACCTTTATTATCGGTAGTACATCTATCTAATGCCAAACGTTAGTCCTTTTTGCATATATAAAAAAATAAAATGAAGGTATTCTAAAGCTGCTGTTGCTAGCTTTCTGTGGCAAATGAAAGACTGCTTAGGTGGTCTTACAAACTTGGTGCTCTTGTCTCCTCGGGTCACCTGAGAAACTTCTTAAACTGTCAGCACGGAAACAGGACTTTCTGCCTATAGAACAGCCTAGAACAACATCTCCAGTACAAAAAGGAGAGACAGATCTATTCCTAAAAATCCTTGCCCCTCTGAGTAATTAAGTATCTTATAAAAATCTGTACGTTTATAAATCCTTTGACAACTTCCCCAATATCAAAAGTTCTAAATACTAAAGTCTTTGTTTTAAAAGGCCAGTAAAAATGTTCCCCTTGTGAAAACAAATTGGTCAATCGGCGTGTACTGTTAGCTCATAGGAAACATTGCCATCGGAACCGCTACACCTTTTCAACATCAACATAAACTAATGAAAAGTGTTCTACAATGGGAAATCTGTCCTGGTAGAGTGATGTGAGGACTGTGGTCCTCACTGTGCGCTTGGGATTCAACTGCAGGCACGAAAAGGTTAATAATGGGTTGATTTACAAGAGAACGGGAAATGGGGGGGGAGTGAGTTAGGTTGATTAATGCGTCCTGCCAGTTCTGCTGACCCAGAACCCCAATAGCCCGGAACCCCAATAGCCCGCTGAAAGCAAAGAGCCAAGAGCCAAGCCGTGAGCTATGAGGCCACGAGCCCTCCAAAGCCCACAAGTCCAGATTTCTGTCAACTAGGCTGCTTACCTCCACCCTTAGGTCCCAGCACCCTTCCTGGGATTGTTGCTGGGATTTGCAGTTCCGGTGTCCGGGTGGGGTGGTGTCCACAAAACCAGGATGTGCAGAGTTCGGTCAGGACATCCTACCCCTCACAGTAGGACCTTAATTAACACTGACCCAGGGGTGTTCACAACTCCAGAATGCTGGTCACAGAAGCTGGAAGCATGACACAGGCCTCCTTCAAGACATCCAGAGGACAATTGTTAACCCGGTCAGTTATAAAAGCTGAGGAACGTTATGCAAAAATAAAAATCCCTTAAAACACAACTTGTAACACAAAAAGAGGGCCTCTAGAGGGTAACCTGGCCCCCTCACAGCAGCAGAACATTCTGTCCC